AATTTTGCTTCATAAGATGGTGAGTACCTCCTACTATGTAAAATTAAAAGGTGTTCTAAGAGCTATCAATTCTTAGATAGCAATACTTAAAGAGAAAGGAGAAATTGTTGACATAATATTGAGTGCTATTTAAAATATGTCGAGCAAAAGTGATCTATTTAGATTTTCACTAAAGCATTTTATTTGTTTTGTTACAAAAAATACCAGAACATAATTCCCAAAAATTTTGCTTCATAAGATGGTGAGTACCTCCTACTATGTAAAATTAAAAGGTGTTCTAAGAGCTATCAATTCTTAGATAGCAATACTTAAAGAGAGATAAAGGAGAAATTGTTGACATAATATTGAGTGCTATTTAAAATATGTCGAGCAAAAGTGATCTATAATCATTCAATACAATATTTAATTTTCTATGCTTATTGATTACTAACTTTTGTTTTTAGTGGTAATTTATAGCTTTTATTTTCAAAATGTAAAACTTCAATTTCATTATTGAACGTGTGGACTAGTTCTTTCATGTTACGGTTTTTATTTTGTAGCAAAGTTTAGTGAAAATCTTTAAATTGTTTTCCTAATTACTTAATATGGATTTTCAACAAGTAAGGGTCAAATCAACCAATTATAAATCTTTATGTTAATATTATCTTATTAGTTTTTTGATTTGATTGTTATTAATCAGACGAAAACTATTAAAAACTGAAGATTTTACATTTTCTTCGCTAGAAATAGATGAAAAAGTCGACTGATATTTAAGAAAACTTGGTAGAATTACAATTTCATAAAATAACATTTAAAATAAAACGCTTAGTTTAAATACAAATGGATCAAATATGTGAAACTTAAACCATGTCAAAAATTTTCCATTTCTTCCCCTTATTGTATAATATATAACATAATACTGTAAGTGTTGATTTCATAAATACCTAAACTGTTTTATGCCCCACCCTGGATTCGATCCTAACATCATTTGATTGTGCTAGTTTAATTGCTGTTTTATCAAAAATTTTTAACCAGGTGCCGACTGAACAGTCTTATTTCATTTACAATTAATTATAAAAAATTACGTAAGCATTTAGTAAACCCGGTATAAGACAGTTGCTAGGTTAATAAAATGGATTGCTTTCAAGATCTTATCCCATACGAGTGGAATTGGGGTTTCCTTTATTTTCAAAACTTGTTATAGAGACACTGTGTTAGAAAGGGCACTCCTCACATTTTTTTATAAATAGGTTAGAACAAAACAGGATGCTATGTTCTAAGGGAATATAACTAACTTTTTTACACGCCTTTATCACATTAAAGTTTCGTGCTTTTCAAACAAAACATTTCGCATAAATGGACATTTAACAATCTACCATAAGAAATGTTGATCCGGACCTCAGATGGCTTTATTACAATTATTTTTTTGGGTTCTTTAAATAAAATACTACATACTACAAGAAAACTTCATGTGTTATGTTAATGGCTCTGGATAAAAGTAAATTCGTTTATGAAACTGGTTAAAAATGCACAATCGATTATTGCAAAATATTTCGGAAATGTACAAATATGGCATAATGTATTAAATTAGTAACAGTAAACAATGATTAGGCTTAAGCACAATACAAAACTTTTGCCCAAAATAATGCTGAAATAATGAACGAAACTACACCATGTAATCTCAAATTATGCAATTAATAATAACTGGAATGTTCGTACTCGGTTACTTCAAATAAAAAAAATCACGATATCAAATTAAACAAGCAACAAAAATGTTTTGTAATCTAGCNGATAAAAAATAAAAACATTATCTATTATTGTAATTTTAATTGTTGCCATGTACCTATACAATATGAATCAAAATTTCAGTTCTGATTTATAAAATCTCATTATCTCTTACTTTGTCTCTCTTTTTATATTTGTATATTTGAGAACTTACCTGTTGTTAATGCAGGAGTCCATTCCTGCTCACCAGTAGCACCCCACAAGAGAGTACCTTTCGAACTTTTTGTTTGTGATGCTACACTGTGGCTGGAATTATGATGATTCGGGCGTTTTTTGCAATCTATACACACATATTTTAAAGATAATTAGTTTGAAGCAGCAAACAAACAATTTTATTCTTATAAAAAATACAGTGTAATGGGGTGGTTAATGGTTTTGACTTATAAGTTCCATTGTCTTGGGTTTAATATCTCTATTTTTTGTTTTCCAATTACAGTTTGATAATTTATAACTACCTAAATCGTATATATATAGAGTATTACTAATTATTTGATAAAAATTAACTAAGTCTAAATTGTTGGTTTATTACTACTCCATATGATAAAAACTAACCATCTTCTTTAAAGTCAAATTCGTTGATTTTTCAACTTAACTTAAATGTTTTACGTTTATCAAAATTTATTAAACAAAGTCATTACTTTAGCTTCTTCAGAAGTTATACAATGAACTAGTGTAATGTATAGTTCAAGTTAAAGTTCACTGTATAACTCATAATAAAATATTCAAATTATTTACTTCTATTACTTTCATTCTTACACGAAATTGGTAGGGCCATTTTCTCTTGATATATTTTACTTTCATGTTTTGAAGTTCTCTTCACTGTCTAGCAATTTCAAGAATTTTTAAGAACTCCTTTCTGTCTTGGTTTCTTTACTGTACACGCTCGTTTTATTTTGTTGACGGCCGTTTCGATAAATTTTAAAAAACCTTCCGCATTCAGAGTATGATCAGATGCTGTAAGGGGACTGTATATGTCGTAGTGTGGTGCACCTTCTATTATCCTTTTTGTTGCGGAGTTATTTAAAGGCAAAAGATAAATTCGGAATCTAAAAACAAATTAAATTAATATTCTATCTTACATTTTCTCTTGCTTCTTTAATGATTAAAAATATTGAATGTTTTATTAATAGAAGAAATTTGATTGTTAATATTTAAAAATATATAGTTAAATTAATTTTGAAATTGCTTATTTTCTAAACGTAACTAAGATATTGGTCATTTAATAATTTTTACTGCAAATTCTTCATTTTGGGACGGTACACAATTTGTTACCATGCCGCTACAGAGTATAAGCAAACTAAAACATTTGCCTTGTTGTTACATATTATATGGCACTAAAGGAACTTGCAATACAGCTTTCCCCACATTCAATGTAATGTTAAGGGCTGAATGGAGCAAAGATATGTGCGCGTGCGCATTAGCTGACCGAACGGTTAGCAAACCATGAATACATAATAATAACTAATTTTAAGTTTATACACTAATACAATATGTTTGATTAGTACTCCGGAAAAAATAAGGAAGAAGAAGGTACATGAAAAAGAAATAAACTGACTCATCTTACACTCTCAGTGGTATACATAAAGATAAAAACAATGACCTTACCGGTCTACCCAACTGCTCCAGTAATGATGTTGCCCATTCGCGTGATGCAACAGTGCGTTCTCATTGCACCGTCCATATGTGACCACCATGTTCACATATTCTGCGTGCGAATACACTTTTTTTTGTTTTGTTTTTTACACTTAACTTATCTTTATATTTTGACAATTGACCTGTCTGCGTACCAGTTGTTGTGAAGGTCATGAGTAGGTATGAGTGTTTGCGATAACAATGGCCGATAAGATAACTGGGGTACTTTTGGTGCATATTTTTTACATTCTCTACGTTCTGGCACTATCAGGAGATGCACTTTGCACTTCCTTCAGATGTTACCTTGCAAATATTCCGGAATACTGATCAGACATAGTGTATTTAACCTTTACACTCAGCCGCTGTTTTTAATTACAAACCTCCAATATTTTAATGCCTCCACTAATAGGAAGTCTGTATCCCCTCTAGTGCATATGTAGTGGTCCAAATAGTTCCAATGGTAGTTCTCTAATTTTTCGGTAGTAAAACTTACCCAGGACACTTCATATGTTTCATGATATGGCGCCTGAAATCTGTATCTATAATGGATGTTAAATGAAGGATATGGATGCCTGTAAAATAAAATTCAATTTGTAACTATAACTTACTCATTCACAGTTACTTCTACAGTGGAAAAAGATTCTTCCGCCTGAAGAAGATACTGTGTGGCGAAATAATTATAAAGGAATCAATAAATACTTTAGAACCAAAACGTATTACTCTAAATTGTGGAATGCCCAATGCCCACAGTTAAAATTGTTTAAAAAGAACTTTAGTCAACAACACATTTTACACCTTAAATTTACTTTTTATTTCAAAAGTATCTAAAATAAAAATAAACCTTACCTTGGTCTATATCTTGTAACGGTAATTGCATTTCCGCTTAAGGAAATCTTATGAAAAATCCGTCCTATGGAAAGATAGAACACTTCAATTGGTTCAGTTTCTGCCCTTTTTCGTGATAGCAAGCTAGCACTCGACGACGTTTGAGTGGGGTACAATGAATAGTCTTTGTTTGGCAATAAAATGAGTTGAAAACCCTGGGCCAATCTTTGTGACACCAATTCTCGAAAAACTTCGGCGGTTGATAAAGGCTTTTTATAGTTCGTACGCTGCTGTGCAAAATCAGCGTTCACATCATCGGGTAACAAGTGGTAAAGTGAAAAGACGTAATCGACCTGAAGAGCTCTCTTGTCTGGAAAGTAGTCCGTCGTTATTGGAAGACACGCAGGTATTGTCAGTGATTTCCAATCAACACCTAGAATTATTGTTATCTCATTNTACTACTTTATAACCATTAGTTAAACTCGAAAGAAGGATAATAAAAATTATTGTTGGTGAAAATAGGAATAACCAAGAAATGTTGGATATTAAGCAAATTTATATTTACAAACTAATTACTAGATATTTTTTTTTTTCAAGGAGATGAAAGTCATCTTAAATAGCAAAACTCGTTATAAGAGTAATGAACTTCCTAGAATAAAACTAAATGTTGGCGGAAAATCTACTTTCTACAATGCAGTGGATAACAATAATAAGTATTCTAAATATATTAATGAACATGTGATTATAAGTAAAAAATTTCTAAAAATTGCTACAAAGAAAATAATACTTTCTGGACTCAAATAGTCGTTATAAAATTGAATAACTTTCTCTATTTATATGCAGTGTCTCATATTTGTTATGGGATATTGATTTCATTTTTAATTTTTTTTTTATTATATTATTTTTGTTTTTAATTTAATTATTTCATAGCTCAATGGGACAAATAGGTTAACTGCGTTTATACCTCGTCCCCAAACATATGTATATTCTGTGCTTATTCTGTGGCGGTTAGTGGGGCCAAAACCCCTTCATCACCCTCATGTAAATTTATTAAATTCAATAAATAAAATAAAATAATGGGTTGCTAAATTTTAAATGCCGTGTATACCACAATATTATAGGTAAAATATGTTGTACTGAAAAATAGGATTTTTCATACCTTCATTAGTGCCCGAAAACGGGGATATCATCGGGCTAATTGGAGTGGAGGGAATCGGAACGGCTTGTGACTTTTTAGGAGATTCGCAAGGATGATAGATGTCTGGATCAGAAAGTTTCCTTCTTATTCGGGTTTGTTCTTGCGGATCTAGAAGACTTCCTGACGTTTTCTTATATCTTGCAGATGATCTCTGTCGATTGCTAAAGGTCGTACAATAATTGTTACATTATTTGTATGTATAGTACATTCTGTAAATTCAACATTTTGGTAATGGGGGATATCTTCATATNTAAAAAATAAAATAATTCTCTTTGCTCCAAAGACAGCGTATTATTTTTTTAAATTTATCTTATAGCATTTTTGGAATATTATGTATTTCTAAAATAAAAGGCAATTTAGATGAATACTTCACTTTCAAAAAAAAAATAATAAAATCGCATTATTAATTCCTTTCCTTCAAGTTATACCTTATCGGCCCAATATTTAAGATTAGAAGTCTTTTTATTTGTAAATTCGAATTTTATCATTACTACTAACTTAAGATTACATAGCAATAACATTAAGAAAAAGTTTGTTTTGTTTTAATAAAATTAGAAGACATGAACGCAAACTTCGACGAAAATTATCCTTCATAAATACTGACGTACATGTTCAATTGTATACTTACTTGCTTCCATGTACTGATGGTAATTGAAAAACTTGAGCGTCATAAGCATCGTAATCAAAAAATGAATTGTGCAAATACTCTTCTTCAGGTACGAGTTTTTGTTTTGGTAATTCCTTAATTCTCGTGTGTTTACTCGGCATCGGAGGAAATTTTATTCGAGGAATAAAATTTGAATAAGCAATTTTTTTATTTGAAGAGTAAAAGGACAAGTTGATCCAATGAGGCATCGAATAGTCATCAGGTACGTTCATATTTGTATCTTTATTATGAAACTATAATGTAAAAGGCATTTTATTAGTTCATATAACATAATTAAACATTTTTGGTTCTATTTGATTAAGAAATTGCAATTTAAAATAAAAATAACTATTTTACCATTATGTCATGTAGCAATTCATTGGTTCATATTATAATGAAAGATTACTTATCAAGCAAACTTTTCTGTAACATTAATCAAACAAAAATGATCGAAATTTAAGGAAATACGTTTTAGAAATATTGAACTATGCATTGTTTTCTTTGGAATAATTTCATCAAAAAAGATAATAGTCTAAGGTTTTAAAATAATGTACATATCTACATAAGTTCAAATAATTCTTTGGTCAAAATAAATTTGACAACTGATAAATAAATTATAGAACTGTTTTTTTATTTGCATTATTTTGAAATTATTGAAACGATGTATTACAAAATATATTAAAATATATGTAAATAGTAATAAAAGTCTTCATTTAGTTAATAATTAATAAGCTCATTTAATATTAATTAAAATATTTTTTTTGTGGTGGAGTATGAAGAAATGTTGCCAGAGGGGGATATAAGGAAGGANCATATGTCATTCGGAATTGGTGCATTTCCCTTTGGATTTTTCACGTCAACATTTAACTTTGGAGATGTAAGACCAAATGCAGCTCCTTTGGGAACTCCGCAGCACATGGAAGAACAATTTTTGTCGAAAATATTTTTGTGGCTCGCTTTCTTGTTTATAGCATGGCTATTATTGGCATAGCAATTGCTGTTGTGGGACTATTGATTTGTTTAAACAAAATAGCATTCAACCTGAACTGTTTCAAGCTTGATTTATGAAAATTGTAATACATTATATACTATCACTTAAATTATATATAAAAGATACTATGAAAAATGGTTTTAGTGGTCACAAAGGGAATTGTTATAATGTAAAAATTTTAATGTTAAAGTTTTCAAGGTTGTTTTTTAATTAATCATTTTTTCTTTATTTGCATACTGTATTAAGTAGGAACTTGAATTAGAAAATATTGAGCCAGTTTGCAAAATACACTGGCAAGAATACATTCCTGATATAGTGCATACATTAATTTTATGAAATGTTTGGTAATAGAATTAAGTTATAAGAATATAATGGATATAATGTGTGCAACTCGGCAGGAAGATAAATACGAAAAATTTAATTTTTATGTTAGAGCTAAATTAACTTAAGTTTTTAATAAAGTGAAAGTGATTAAATTTATAAGATGCAAATAGAAGACAGTAATTGTATATTTAATTAGTTGTTTCTTTTTTTTGTCATTTTTATGTATTTTTGCGATCGTATACATTTAAGTTATATGGTTTATTGTTCTCTAGAATGAAGATTTATTTAGAATTTATGGATGTATGTAAACAACTTAATGTTAAACAAAACTATACTATTACTATCTTTTTTTAATAATAAAAATACTTTTTCTAAAGCAGTCAAGTTAGTATTAATAGGCATTTTTTATTTGAATTTATAAAATAAAGTAAAAATACCTTCAGCAGAGGTACCGCATGTAAAGGTTGTTCCCCAACACAAACCAAATCACTTCCAACACCATTATCGATAATTCTCTGTTTGGTAACGTTAGTTAATTCTCGATCAACTTCAAAAACGCCAACACCAGGTGTTACAACAACGCTTAATTGACCTGTTCTATCGAAACTGCGATCGAGATAATGTTTTTCAAAAACTAAAATAGAAACAAAATGAAAATTGTTAGATTGTGAGCAATAATTACCAATAATGAACGGCTTCAAAAAAATATAGTAACAACATTTTAATACAAAGGATATAAAAATTTGTATTAGTTTTACTAACAGTAGGAAAAGGTCGATTGCCACAATTGCTGCTTGATTGAAGGGAATGAAATTTGATAATATAATCAATACTAAATTTTTGATCATTATATGCTTATGTAAATCGAGTATCTACTAATCATATGAATAATCTTAGGTATTACAATGTTGTCATTTCTTGATCACACACTTCCTGTTGGTTTATATATCTCAATGTCTTTACTCTGAGTAGTAACATGAAATAAATATAAAAGTCCAGGTATTAAGCGAATGGCTGAATTGAAAGTATTTGAAATTTTATCGTATTATTAGAGTAATCAAGTCAAATGGGATCACTGGATTTCCATCAAACATAACAATCATATACTGAACCTTTTGGTTGTTGGTGTTGAAATACCAATATTATATTTCTTATTGATGAATGTATTTTTTAAAGAGTTTTTAACATGAATTCGTATATATCCAGAGCAACTGATATATAATCATGTCCGTCACAATTGCCGACGAAACGTATGGATTTAATTGCTCAGTCGACCACGGTCCATCGTGAAAGCCTACGTTCTTATACTTATATATAATTATTTCATTAGTATAATTATTATTTCAGTCTTAAAATAGGTGCTATACTGATGTCTTACCATTTAGAGACATATTAAGAACTTCTAAAAAATTTCCTTGGGCAGCTGTGCTATTCGTACTAGCAGGTATGGTAATTCCAGGTTTTGAGTGATATTCTAAAACAACTTTTAAATATCCAGCAAACAATTTACGTAACTGAACCAACATCGTGCTCCAATCATCAAATTTTTCATTCTGGCAAGCAACCCTAAAAATTATTAATTTGTAAAACATTAGAGGATAGGATATAAGTTTTTACACAATACTAAATTATTATTATCAACTCTTAATGTATCCCTGTTATTAACTTTGATTTTCTTGAGAAACAACGTACCTACATTACTAGTCTAATTAATAAATATTTTAAAAAATTAACTACTAAGCTGGGTAGAATATATAAAATTAATAATTTAAAAACAATCAAAACAAAAAGTTCTAATTGTATTTGTAATGATCAATTGTGTATTTTAAAAATAATATCTGCAATAAAAAACAGGAGACGTGGTTTATCACAAACCACGTCTTTTCTAAAACTGGTTCTGTATTTTCAAGAAAACCTTCACCTTCTCTTTTGAAAGGCTATGTTATAGTTAGTTTAGGTTTCCCTAATTGCAAAGTTAATCTTAGAGTTACAAATTCATGGACAGTGTCATAAACTACACTGTTACCAAAAAAAAAAAACTATAGAATAAATCGTATTAAGGCAACTTTGATAAAATGCAATAAAAAATTTATCTATGTACCTATAAAAGTCTTCATAATAT